AAAAACAAATAGGGACAGATTTTATAGTGATTCTCCTGATAACACAAGGTACGTCCACTGTAAAGTCTTCAATAGTTTTACTATGACTGAAAAAGATGATTACAATGGTATTCTCCGTGAACACAAAGAAATAGTATGAGAAAAATATTGAAAAGTATGTAAAAATTGAGTAAATATGCTTGCAGGGGTGAAAACGTGTGTAGGAATGGGTGAACTCCTGTCTTGGACGCCTATGGTATGCATTTATAGGCTCTTGGTGGCTGAAAATAAGCCTTTAGGTAGTTTCCCGTTTCACTTTTGATTGATGATTCTCTAAGAAATCTTTCTTTATAGGGATGATGCTTAGGGAGCAAGCATGTGGGATGATTAACTTTTCCCTTTATTTTTCTAGGCGTGATCCTTTAATTTAATATCGAATACTCTTCATGGAGATGAGATCTTTATACTTAATTCACGAATGCTGAGCTCGCATGTATGTTTTACTGTTCATCTAGCGAGTTGCTGGATTAGTGGTTCGGGTAGCGTTGGGACCCGCGAGCTGCCGACTGCTCGAAGCCTTTTTCGGCTGGCAATTTCATAATTTGATCCCATTCTCTAACACGCATGATGACACGTGTACGGTGAGAAATGCAGAACGAAATTTAACCTTAACAGTTAGCCCCCCACTTTGTAGTCGATGATAATCGACTTAAAGAGTAGCTTAATCTAATTGCATGTCAACTTCTGCTTCTGGTGGCTCGTTTGAACGTTCGAGTGGCCAATGGGTGAACACAAGATGTTGTGATGCCTCAGGTGCGATTCCACAGCTCGTCGTTTATCGCAGGTTATCCGTTCGTGGCGTCTCCGTTTGAGCGTCTGGATGATGTGATTCTAGGTAGGTGGCGGTTGAATTAACCACTGATGGGATGTGTGCAAGGGTGCGACAGTTGAGGCACGTAATTCAGAGCAGCTTCATGATGAGGGGTTGCTGAAGCTATTTGGGCCATTGGTTGAGCTCTAATCTCGACCGTTAATTTGAAAAAGGGAAGTTAACTTAAAAAATCTTCCACTTTCCCTCTTTTATTTTCTCTTTCTTCTTATACACATTCTCGCCCCTCCTATAAAACTTATCCTCTCGCTGGAAGCCTCCCCCACTTTGCTAACTTGCTGCTACCGCCAACGATCCCTATTGTCGACGATCATTGCGCCGATACCCATTGCCCTCTCGTTGCCGTTCCTTTTCTGCCGTCTGAGGTAAGCCCTGCTTTTCCGGCCTTCTTTCCTTTTCTTTGTGATTTCGTTGCTTTGGTTGCATGTTTTGAGGAGAGATTTGCTGGAATTTTTGGTCTAGTTTTCCGGTTTTTAAACTTAGGCCGTTCTGTTTTTGAGAGATTTGTCCTTATGGCTTTTGTGTGTTTGTGTGGAAAATCAGAGAAAATATGCCTTGAGATTATGGCTGAATATTGACTATGAATAGGCTGATTGTGTATAGCTGCGAATATCTGTAAACTTAGAAAGAATATTTGTATTCTAGGAAAGTAGACTGATTAGCTTATTTTAATAAAGTAGAATAATTAGCTTGTTTCCTTTACTCTGTTTGTTTCTTTAAATCAGGGATTGTGTTTTCTGATTTAATGGAATTGTATTTCCTATAAATTGTATGTACAGTAAAATGAAAAGTATTCCCCTCACACATTTTTTGTCTCTGTCGTCTTCTCTGTTTTTTCTGATTTGGTATTAGAGCCAAGCTCTTTTCTTCCTGATTCTCCTTCTTCTCCTTTTTTTCTCCTCTTCCTTACCCAATGTCAGAAACCTCTGCTGAGTCAAGCGAAAAACCCACCTCAGAAATCACTCATGTTTCAAATCCGTCAAAAACTATAGGGACCACAGAGTCTCATTCCATTCAAATTACCACCATCCGTTTAAATGGTGATAATTTCCTACGTTGGTCGTAGCTGGTTCGTATGTATATCTGAGGTCGTGGGAAGATTGGATACTTGACTGGGGAAAAGAAGGCTCCAATGAAGAGTGATCCAGTATATGCTACTTGGGATGCTGAGAATTCCATGGTGATGACATGGTTGGTTAATTTGATGGAGGAAGACATTAGCTCTAATTATATGTGCTATCCAACTACACAAGAGCTATGGGAGAATATGAATCAGATATATTCGGATTTGGGGAACCAATCCCAAATTTTTTAGTTGACTCTAAAACTCAGTGAAATAAGACAAGGGGAGGATAGTGTCACCAAGTATTTCAACTATTTGGATGAGCCAAGAGTACAAGGGAGTGTTGAGTTGGATGTTCTTAAATTTTAGAAAGGAAATCAGTTTCGCTATCCGGAGCTTTCTTACATGGCTCGTGATATCCTAAGTATCCCAATATCTACTGTAGCATCTGAATCTGCATTTAGTGTTGGAGGACGAGTATTGGATCAATATAGGAGTTTACTTAAACCTACCATAATTGAGGCATTGGTGTGTACTAGGGATTGGCTATCTGAAGATAAAGGTATATTTGTTTTTTTTTTTTGTTTATTTACTGTCTTAGCTTATGTTATCTTAAGTCTTAACCATATAAGTTATCTATTATGTGTAGAAAATAACAAATCAATTCGTGAAGCTGTGGATGAAATTACTGAAGATGTTTTTAGTTTGGATATCAATGAGTCCACTACTGGTTCATCTCAAAATTCTCACAACCTCAACACCTCAAATGCAATGGAAGGCAACAAGAATTTCCTTGTGGCATGCCTAAGCTATAAATTTCATTTCATTAATAAAATGTTTTCTTTTTCTATGAATAGGTTAAAGCAACTGGAAATGAATTTTGGTTTTTAGAGCGTAGTTGGACATTCAACCTCAAGTCTCAAAGAAGACATTTTCCTATATTTATCTTATGTTTTATGCACTTAAATATTCAAATATTGGTTATGTTTTCAAACTTATTTAAATGTACTTGGTTATGTTTTCAAATTTCTTTAGATGTTTGGTAATTGGTATGTTTTGAAACATGTCATAAGTGATGTTTTGGATATTTTAATGTGTGTTGGCTATTATGCATGATTTTAATTATAAGTGATATTAAGTAGTCAATTAATATAGTTTTGAATACAATATAAAATTTCACTATTTTTGCTAGTTGGGTCATAAACGTGTTTTTTTCGTGTCGGCCCGTCACAGCACGTTTAGTAATCGTGTTCGCGTGTCGTATCGTGTTAACCGTGTTATTAGCGTTTCATGTTCGTGTTTGGGTTTCTGACACGTTTATTAAGCGTGTCGTATTCGTACTCACTATAATCGTGTCGGCCCAAACACAGCCCGCAAACACGAATTGCCAGCCCTACCCCCAATCTTTCCTTTAGGCCAATAGCCCGAATACTCTACTAAATAAGGAAACTACCTAGTTCTTCTCTTACTTTTCCTCATACCCTTCGTTCCTACCAAACACGCCCTTACGTTTTTTCAGTGCTTGTGCCTTTTTTTTTTGTCTTTTTAAGTTCTTTTTATTTTATTCCATAAGTTGGTGACTTTAAAGAGGGTAACACACGTCTAAATCTAATACACCGTATTAGCATTCAATATTATACTATTTTAAGATATATAATATTTGGCAACATTTTTACATCATAATTTTGAACGAATAGATAATATGGAATAAAAAAACCTATGCATTAGATCAATGTTTTATAAAAATTTAAAACATTAAAAAAAACATACAAAATACTTTTAAAATATCAATAATGTGTCTGCCTCAAATTAAAAAAGTACACCATATAACACAATTTTAGGTTTTTAGTACTTGTGCCACAAATTAGTCCCTCATTTTTAAGAGACTGCCGCATGTTTAACTCAATATAGGATTATTCAAAATAATATATAATATTTCACAACATCATTTAAAATATTGCCAATTACTAACACAATTCTAGTTTTTCCTTTCCAATTGTTGAATCGGGGTTAGATGAAATGTATACAAAGGAATTTTCCCAAGTTTTGGTTTGGTTTTTTTTTTTTTTTTTTTTTTTTTTATAGGCTTTTTTCCTCTTTTCAATCTTACGATGTATTAATACAACAACTGCATGCATCACGAATACGATTCAGAGTGACCTTGGAAATTGGTTTCCGTTAGTTAGATGGTTTCCAATTTAACCTTTCAGAAGAAGATGACAAATAAATATAATCTTAGCCCACTTGTTCTAATGACACTAGCAATGTGTACTCGTTGAACGGCCAATCAAAATTTTACAATCATTTTTAGGCATATATAACCCTGTGAGATTTTCTAGTTTGTAGTCGTAGTTCCTTTTTTATTAGATCTTGGGTTTCTTTTTCTGGATGGAACAGGAGGATTAGAGGAGGCAATCTTTTGCTGCTTAAATTTCTCAACCATGGTGTACACCTGCATTTGATATCAAATCAAGTTAATACATTTTATAATAATAACATTATGAGAAAAACTACCAACAAATCCGTCATTTTCTCGTTAAAGCTTCGTCTCAGATGAAGGTGTTAGATTAATGTCAGTTACAAAAAGAAGATTACTTTCCAAACAAAAGAAATAACTGTTTGGGTGTTGTTGCAAACAAGAAACTAGTAGACTATAAGGATTCCATTATATGGTCAATCAAGTAACCAAACAGAAGAACAAGCATCAAGTGGTAGTACTAGATTTTGACATTACCTTTCTGACACTTGATGTTAATCCCATGCTTGAGATGACATCATTGCCCACATATTTCCAAGGCGGAGTTTCTGTGTCCCGCTTTCTAAATGCACCCTTCATTTTCATACCACCTTCAACCAGAATGAATGCAACCAAACAACAATATCAAAAGCATAATGAAAAGATATTGCTTTTTATATACACTTACTTATAGAATGATGCATTCACAATTTCACATGCACAAGAGAGAGAGAAAGTTCAAACCTTTGAGATGTAACACCATGTATTCCACATATATCCTGAGACGAATGTGACTGAAAACATGGACGAATTCTCCCACATATTCCCTCAACATGACTTTACCCGCCTTTCTGGTCTCAATTTGGAAATGGGCTTTCAGATATCGATTCATCGCTTCCCTCCTGTTGTCCACGTCAGCTTCTCCATCCAACAAGACAGACGGGAATTCCCAAAGTCCGGCGAGCAAACCTTCATCGGGCCTCTTTACAAGAAGGAATTCACTGTCTGACATATCTTCTTCACCTTTTAATACCTCCAGAACGCATACGGCAGAAAAATCGTGTCTTTGTTTCATCTTCATTCCTTTACTCGGATAATCCGTGACAAGGACCGATCTATCACGTCTTGAGATTGAGACTGCGCGACACTGATCGGACACAGGGCATGAAGAACAAGTTGGACTAAGTGGAGTGCATATAGTTGCACCAAGCTCCATGAGACCCTGATTGAAGTCCCCGGGATTCGAAGGATCAACTAGTTGCGCAGCTAGTTCCCTATGACCCATATCCACATGAAATTCAAGAGCTAATAAATATGTGTTAAAAAGATGCACACTGTGCCTCTAAATGTCTAAATGCCAGCGTGAATATTTATTCCAAGTATAACATTTTTAACATGAAGCACTTAGCCTATGTTTTTGGTTAAGTAGAAAAGGGAGATGAAGGAAATTAGAGGAGACATTTTGGGGAAGAAAACAGCTTCATGCTCACTTAAGACATTGGAGACAAGTAAAAACAATACAAAGTCGAATAAACTCTTTTTTTCTCTCTTCTTTATTCACTGTGAAACTATTGTATAAAAAATAGGAAGAACCACAGTAAAGGAGAACCAAAAAGAGAATAGCAATAGAAATTCAACCTGTATAAGATGTCTTAAAACTCACCAAAACTTCTTGATGGTTGCAGAGTCTTTTGGATTTGCGGAAATAGCTTTGAGTCGAGCGATAACCCGAACAACATTTCCGTCAACCACTGGAACTGCCTGATATAATTTTTATTCTCAATTTTTTTTTTCCTCTTTAAGATGAATAGAAATTGCTCCTCGTTGATTAAATCATGACCACAAGAGATACTAACCTCCTTAAATGCTATGGAGGCAATTGCTCCAGCTGTATACTCTCCAACTCCCGGAACTTTCCGCAGCGAAGAAACTGTTCTAGGAAATTGACCTCCCTCCGAGACAATCATCTTTGCTCCCTACAATTACAAAGATAAATAAATTCACGAATTAGGACAGATTATAACATGAAAGGGAGAAATTAGAGATACCATAAATAAATACATAGTTACATACTCATATACTTGTGTTTCGGGTCATGCTTGAGATCGCAAATGAAAGTGAGTGATCATAATGAAATGTATAACAAAGCAAACACATACTAAATGCTTTTGGAAAATTGATTACTTTCCTCCAACCAAAAAGAGGAAGGAATGACGGAATCCAAGTGTGGAGCCAAAGAACATACCTCTAAAAGATAGCGCGCTCTTCGATAGTATCCCAGACCTGCCCACATTTCATTCACCTCCTGCAAAAGGGAAGAGTAGGCACAAATATACAGACACTCTTTTAAGTCTCAAGATGAAAAAATGGGTGTAAATTCATGAAGAAAAGAAAAGAATTATAGACCTCGAGAGAAGCTGTAGAGAGGTGGAGCAAAGTGGGCCATTTGAGCATCCAGCGGTTGAAATAATCGACGACAGTCTGAACCCTGGTCTGCTGCAGCATAACTTCCGAGACCCAAACTCGGTAGGCTCTCTTCTCGACGTCGTCCTCGTCGTTGGCCTCCGGCAATGACACTCTCCAAGGAAGGTCTCTGCGGTTGAGGCCATACCAAGCCAGCAGAGACACCCTCATCTTTTGTATTTCGACGTCGCTGAATAAATCTTCCATGTCTTCTTCCGTCACTTGCGCCGCAGCATTTGAGGATGATGATGATGATCTTCGCTCCTTGGCTAACCGTTGTCGACGCATTTGATTTGATTTGAGTAGACGAATGATCAAACAAAGAGAGACTGGATCGAATGTTTACTATCACCTTGTTTACTTTACTACTATAACAAACCAATGTAACAAATGAGCTACCCGTAAATGTCTTAGACAAACATAAAGATTAAGGACTAAGGAACGGGAAGAGTCTGAAAAAAAAAAAAAAAGTGTTCTTAATTTGCAGCCAAATCAACTTCTATAAATAAATGGAGGAAAAAAATAAATCCTAACATACACACATACCCCAATAGAAAAGCTACATTTGATTTGATTATAAAACAACAATACAACAACAACAAGAAAAACCCTGAATACAACAACAAACAACGGTTTCTAAAGTGGATTTCTTCAAGCCAGGTCTTTTCGTCTCATATCATCAGAAACCCAGATAAAATTAGGATAAATTAAATTTAATTAAATGCAAAAATAAAAATAAAACACAGAGAGAGAGAGAGAGAGATAATCCTTTTGTGTTACCTTTGAAGTTTTTGCTGATTTCTTCATTTCATTTGTTTTGAAATATAAGTAATCTCTTCATCTTCTCCTCTTCCTTTCAAGTTCTACTCTCAGTCTGAGTATCAGACGCAGCGGGAAACAAAATAAATAAATAAATAAAGACTAGAGAATATTCATTTTTCATTAGTTTCTGCCACTAGACTTTTGCGATTTTTCCACTTAGCTCCCCCTAACATTCTTTAAGTTGCATTTAAATCCCTAATCTCCTTTACCCTTATATATGGGCTTTGGAGCACCGCACGTGAGTCAAAAAGTCAAAAGGTCGAATGGTGATGGCAGAAGCTGAAGCTGATTATTCTCCATTGGATTTTGGGCCGTCGGCAATCAAAAGCAAACGGGAGTCGCCGGAGTTCTTGGAGGTCAAATGCAATAGCTCAGGAAAAACGCGGCGTTTCGCTCCGGGAACAGACGCGGGTTTCGCCGTTTCGGTGATAAACCGCAAGCTTATGCTTTTGGGCACCAAATCCAAATCCAAATCCAAATCCCTTTCTCTGTCTTCTTTTCCTCTGGCTCTTCACATTGAAGCCTCCAAAGAAAACGAAAACGAAGAGCCCATCAGTTTTGGGCCCAACTCCCCTCTGTTCAACTATGGCGACGGTTGGATTCTACAGACTGTTGTTAATGTTAATCATACCCAACAACAACAACAACAACAAGAAAACAATCTGCATTAATTCTCTTCTGGGCCTGGTAATTTCGATTGTTATTACTATTATTATAGTACTATTTCTCTTTGATTTATTGACTTTCTTTTGTAAAGTTTGAATCTTGTTTTGAATTGGTGAATAAAGTTTGAAGCTTGATTGATTGATTGATCGATGGAAATTGTGTTTTGAAGTTGAAAGTTCAAGTGTTGGACTTGAAGGACATCATGCGGCGCTCCAACATGCTAATGTAAGCTCTTCATCCTCGTTCTCATTCATTCATATTACGTTATAATGCTAATGCTAATTGTAAGGTTCTTTTATTAATTTCGACAGAATTCTTCTAATTTGTCATGTTTCCACTCGGGCTAAGAATAATTTAATATAATTTAATGTAATTGTTTTACATCTCTGCTATACTATAGTTCCAAACTTCCAAAGCATGTCATAATGTCAATCTTCAGTGTTGTTGGTTATTAGTAGAAATAAGTCAATAACCTTACAATTCATGACTACTAGTAATACCCTTCAGTATTTGAAGTCTAGGTAGGTATTTCCTCCCCTTTTTTCCCCTTGAAAGAAATTGACATGATTGATCCTTTTCTATTTCGAATCGCGCCTACTGGCGATTCCCATACAAACGGGGTGATTAATTGGTTTAGACTAGAGGGACATACAAATGGTATAAAGATTAGATTACTTCTACTGGATTATGTATATTTAAAATAAGAAAGAATCTTGTAAGTCTCTCTGTTTGATGAAATAAGGCCGTGGAATCTTTGAGCATACCATCAACATAGCCTATTCTTAGAATCTTTGTTTTGTTTCTCGTTTCTTGTTTCTAGTGAAAACTTCTTCTTTTTTTTTTCTTTTTCTTTTCTTTTTATTAGAAAATAGAATTGCACAATGCCAATGGTGTTAAGACGTGTTTGTTTTTCTTGCGTTGACAATGAAGGGAAGAGATTCAGCTTATTCTTTTCTTGGGAGATAGCTTTTTAACTACTTGTTTTCTTTGTAAATGAGGTCATCCAAAAACAAATTTTGTTTCTTTCCTTTTCATCGCATGCCAGCAACTTATTTGTTGTATTCTTAGAAGGTGTAGCCCTGCAAAAGGAGACTCTAAGTTTTTTTTTTTTTTTTTAATTCTTTCCCTCTGTTGATCCTCCTTTTTGCATTATAATGAGCTCCATTAAATTTTCCTTGTTGAGCCTAACGTTACAAACAATAAACATTGCTCAAATTCAAATATATGGAACCAGTTTCCCAAGCCATATTTTACCCAATTCAGCACATTGTTTTTCTTGACTTGGTTTTAGTTATTTTTCAGAAACTGTGAAATACTCGCCGTTCTCTGTAGAAAAAGTTCACTGCCATATGATATGCAGTTTTCCTAGTGGGATAACGACATTAACATTAGATACCCCCAAAATCTCTCTCCTTTATTGTTTGTTCTTCTGGTGTTTTACTTGCTCTTGTACAAACTCTAGCCACGCATACTTCTTTCATCATTACTTGATGGACATGGATTTTCAATCAACAAACACTTTAACAGCTTTCAATATTCACTCACTCACTTTGGTTTATTACGTATGAAATTTTGTATGATTTCACAAACCATCCCGCATCCTATCAAAACTTTATTGCTCCAAGATTTCGTATTGTTGTAGATGCATGGAACTGTGTTTTCTTATATTTAGTACCTTTAAATACAGATTAGTTACGAGTTTTCATTTTAATTAACATCCAGTTAGAATTACTTTGTGGATAGAGAATGGTGATGCTGAATTTTTAACTAGTATTTAGAGGAAAGAATATCTATTCAGTGTTTTGGTGTATGTTTTCTTTTCTTTCAAGGAAACATATTGCTAATATAAATAATATTTGCCCTGTTTTTCACTTTGTGCAGGGTTCTGAAACCTCAGCTCCGGCAGAGGTGACAAAACCAGCAATCAGTTTGGTGTACATTGGAAAAATAATATTAGCCTTCATTCTGCTATTTCTCATAGGTGCAATTTTCACTTTGGCTTTGGAGAATCTTCCATTATTCATATCATTTGTTACATCATCCGCTTGAATATTTGATAATGTTTACCAAATCATTTACTAAAATACTTGTAACAAGTGATCTAGTGAAGTTAGTTGTTATTTCTACTATTCTTGCGTAAAAAGTTATAATCTTCCAACAACAACAACAAGCTTTAATCCCAACTTAATTAGGGTCGGCTATATGAATTTCACTTTTCTACGCAGCTCTCTTCTAATTTGACAAAAATAAACAACTCATTTACCATATTGACATAACATGTTATGAATAAATTTGGTAGCTCATTTAAGAACATCTCCATTGTGTAAAAATTTACCATATTGACATAACATGTTATGACATAACATATTATGAATAATTTTAACTAATAAAGTTATTTAACTAAAAGGGGTATTAATTAAAAGTAAGCAGTAAAATTTTTCTGTAACCCTTGGCAAAAGATTCTCAGTGTGGGTGTGTGTATTTTGGGTTGGCGTGTAAAAGGTGAAATTATGCCAAGTTGGCTTTCTGGTGGGCCAAAATGTCCCTCTTGAGCTTGCAAAATTATCCTTGCTTTGCTTTGTTGAAAATGTGTAAGGTATAATGCAAACCAAATCATCCTAAAGATGACACATTAATTCAGGTTAACTATAGAACTGGCACGGCCACATATATAGAGTCCAGAAAGGGATACTTTTCTTCTGAATAGAGTAAACTGAATTCCCTTATTCTTTGGGGATATAAAACAAAACAAATATATATATATATATATATGTTCCAATGATTTGAGGACATACTCTCCTTTCAATCAAACCCACATTGATCGGCTTAACCCCACTATGATTCTAACTATTATTATCTAACTAAAGCATAAAGAAGTAAAAGAAGCGCTCCATCTTGTTGCCAAACAAAACAAATATAAAAGTGTACTTCCTGAGAAGACTGAAACACCTCCGCATCATCACATTCCTTACTCTTTTTCTTTTTTTTTTTTTCTTTTTTTTTTTCGCTAAAGAAATAAATGACATTCATTACGCACTCTTTCAACTTTTTGGCTTAAAACTGTAAGGATATGCACCAGTAAAGTTTTTCTTTTCTTTTTCTTTTTCTTTTTCTTTTTATTGATATTTGGCCAAAAGTTTTATAGAGATATTTCAACCCCCTAAAATAGCAAAATTTTGATGAAATTTTTGTCCATGGTTGCATATATTAATTGGGGACCTTTTCGGGTAGGACCTCCAACCGAGTGGCTAAGTCGGCTAGCAAAGTAAGCCGAAGAAGAGTGGTTTCTAGGGACCACTTGGATGCCAGAGGTTGCAAAATCGACCCTTGGACAGGTCTCGTACAAAAATCGACCATCAATAGTTTCTAATGATGTTTAGTCTTGCTTAGAGTAGAGTATTTATCCAAGTTCCCAACATTAAAAAACAAAAAAAACAAAAATGACTCGCGGATAAGTTTGATGGTATCCATCCTTCAAGTTTACCGGTGGTATAGAAATCTATACTTATATTTAATTGTAAACGCCACACCACTCTATCCATTTTAGGACCATAGTTCAAATCTAAAAGTGAGGTACTCTCTTTATAGCTAAGATTTCTAACGAGACATTTTCTCCCAAAAAAAAAAAAACAGAGGGGAAAAAAAGAAAAGAATATGGGGATTGTTATCCTTTTCCTTTGAACACTGCTAACAAATTCAACCATTTCAGAACCATGTTAACATGCCACAATTAAGTACATGTCAACATGCCACAATTAAGTACTTAGAGCATGTCTGGGAGAGCTTCTTAAAAGCTACTTTTGGCTTCTTTAATTTAAAATTATTTTTAAAAGTGTTTGAATGATCTGTCAAAAGCGTTTTAATTTTTCAAAAAAACCTTCAGTGTTAGTCAGAAATTGTGGCTCTTAAAAAAAATACTTCTTAATAGACTTTGAAACTTGTACTAGAATTTAAATAAGGTATTATAAAATTCTAATACTTTTATTATTTAATAAAAAATTTAAAAATCATTTTGACCCATTAAATTATTTATTGTGAATACTTATTAAAAAATCACAACTTTTAATTTTATTCTTTTACCAACTAAAAACAAAAATAAAAATAAAAATTCTGTTAAATTAAGGAGCACAAGTAAAGGCGTTTACAAAAATAGAAATTTGGGGTAGAGACCCTTTTTGTTGGGTCAATAAAGAAGGCTTAATTGTGATTATAAACATGTCTGATCCATCTCCCGTAAAAGATATAAATTTGAACAAACATTAAAAATATTTGTCGATTAGCAGAGATGAGAATGTAAAAAGTTATTAAGTGGGTTGTTGGGAATGATATGTGATTAAAGACAAAAGGTGTTTGTTTGGAGTATGGAGTTTGGAGTTTGGAGTTCGGAGAGAGAGAGAGAGTGAAAAAGAGGCATTACTTACATTAATAATGCAAATGTAGGATAGCAGACAGAGTGTTGCCTTTTTTGAGTACGTGAGGAATAAAATGCTGTCTCTCTACGAGGATTGGCGTGAAAGAGAAAGAGAGAGAGAGAGAGAGAGAGAGAGAGTAATTAGTCTCTTTTCTCTCCCTAATTCCCTTGTCAATAAGCCAACACTAAACCCCCATTATTCCTTTACTTGTCATTTTTATATAAAGATAAAGAAAATAAACCCCAAAAAAAGAAAGATTAATTGGGAAAGATTATCATGAAATATATATATACACATATGTTGATATATGTCCTCACAGTCTGGTGCTCTGTGGCTTCAATACACCTTTCCACTTTTGTACTTTTTTTGAATTTCTGCTGGCTTTGTCTGTCCATTCAAAGCATGATGAGGAAAAAAGGAGGGAAAGCTCTTCAAGGATGAAACTATTTTCAAGACTTGTTCCCTTTGTGGACTCTGTTTCATGAATACCCCTTTTTTTTCTTTTTTCTTTTTTTCTTTTTTGTTTCTTTTTAATGTATAAAAATCACTTATATATATATATATATATATATAGCTAGAGAACTTACCCCTACTCTCATGAGTACTTGATTCAAGCTAAAATTTGTTTTAACAAAATAGAAAAAAAAAAAGAGTATATATTATCATAAAATTTTCATATCACATGCATATTCTCGTTTCGTTGCAGTAGAAAAAGGATATACAATACACCTTTCAAAAAGGAAAAAGAAAAGATATATCATATAATACAATAATGTAGAATAAAACACAAAAGTAGAGTAGATTGATATCTTCTTTTGCAGCTTTTTGATCATTATCAGGTAAAATTATTTGATTGGTGCATCATGCCTAATAAAATTATTTATTTTACTAGTCCCAACAAGTGAACATGGTCATCGAAAGCTACACCGCATATTAATACTAATAATAATAAATATGTAAAGCAAAATCTAGTCATGTATATACTATACTAAGAAAAAGAAATATTAGTAATATGATCATATACATCGTTAATGATGATCATCCCATTAATTTGTTTTTAATCAATATTTAGATTAATCCTGCGTCCTTTATTCATGATCAGTTGAAATGATTATTAGGGAATATAATATATAATATTTTAGGGTAGCAAATATATATTTATTTATTTGGAAAATGTTTCTAAGATGATTAATTTGGTTTAGTTATCTGTTAACTGTAAGCTAGGCTAGGTTGAAGAAAGAGAAAGCAACATTAAGGGCTCAGGAAGAGAGAGAGAGAGAGAGCAAATAGAAAATTGCAAAAAAGAAAAAAAAAAGAAAAAAAGAGAAGAAAAAAAACAAGAAGAAGAAATGGGGCATTCAACAAAAGGGGAAGTATAAAGGAGGAGGCGTGGTCTACCCTGGGCTTGCTCAATTAAAGCTCTCCACTCTCTCTCTCTCTCTCTCTCTCTGAAAAAACTCTTCTTTTCAAGAAAACACACCACACCCCCAGCGCCCCTCTCTCTCTCTTAGTTTTTATTTAAGAAAAAAAAAACAAGGTCTTTTGGGGGAGGTGTTTAAAATCACATCATCAAAAACAGAAAGAAAAAAGAAGACAGTCAAGTAGTAGTAGTGGTAGTGATAATTTCTAATTTTTGTGGGGGTGGGTGGGGGTTTTGATTAGATTTGTGATGCGCTCAGGAGGATTTACAAGCAGCACTAGCAGTAGCAGTAGTACTACCGGAGGGGGAGTACTAGAGCAGACCCTCACGGCGGAGGCTGCGACGGTGCTTAAGCACTCCCTCACCCTCGCCCGACGAAGAGGCCATGCCCACCTCACTCCTCTCCACGTCGCCGCTACTCTCCTCTCCTCTTCTCGCCACCGCTCCTCCTCTCTCTTCCGAACCGCCTGCCTTAATTCTCCTATTACTACTACTACTACTACTAATCATATTCCTCCCCTCCAATGCCGCGCTCTTGAGCTCTGCTTCAACGTCGCTCTCAACCGCCTTCCCTGCACGAATTCCACCTCCACCGCTCCTCCGATCCACCACCATTACTACCACCACCCTTCTCTCTCCAACGCCCTCATCGCCGCTCTCAAGCGGGCCCAAGCCCACCAGAGAAGGGGCTCCATCGAACAACAACAACAACAACACCACCACCACCCCCAGCAGCAGCCTCTTTTGGCCATCAAAGTCGAGCTCGAAAGCCTCATCATCTCCATTCTTGATGACCCGAGTGTCAGTAGGGTTATGAGAGAGGCTGGCTTCTCTAGCACTGCTGTCAAAACCAGCCTTGAAAACTATTATTATAACACCAATACCTCTTCTTCTTCTTCTTCTTCAACTTCTTCTCCTCTTACCTATTTCCACTACTATAATCATAACAATCCTTCTGGTGGTATTTTCTCTTCTCCTTCCTCTCCTGATCATCATCATCATCTCCCAAGTTTAAGTTTTATATGGCCCCACAACAGTAATAGTAGTATTCATGAGTATCGCCAAAACAGCCCTTTTCATCTCTTCTCCACTCCCGCTACTAGCTCCACTACTGCCTTTGTCAAGGAAGAGGATGTGAAGTTGGTTCTTGAGGCGCTTTCGAGGAACAATAACACAGTGATCATGAAAAGGAGAAACACCGTCGTTGTAGGCGATTCCGACGCCATAACCGAAGGCGTGGTCGCGGAGCTCATGCGGAGGTTTGAGAAAGGAGAGGTTCCTCATCAGGAGCTGAAACAGACGCGCTTCTTGAAACTGTTGGAATTTTTCTCGCCGGTTTCTTCTTTGAGGCTCATGAAGAGACAAGACGTCGAAAACGGCTTGTTGGAGCTCAAGACAAACCTTCGTCAACATCATCATCATCATCAAGGATCGTCTGTCATAATATACACAGGAGACCTCAAATGGACGGTCCATGATGATGATCAACAACATCATGATCATCCTGCAGTACCTAAATACAGCCCAGTTGATCATCTGGTTGAGGAGATAGCTGGGTTAGTTAATTACAATCATGATGATGATGATGATGATCATATCATGAATAAAAAGGTGTGGATAATGGGGAGCGGAAGTTATCAGACATACATGAGATGCCAAATGAGAAAACCTCCTCTTGAGATTCAGTGGTCTCTTCAAGCTGTTTCTGTTCCTTCCTCAGCTGGTCTTGGTTTGACCCTTAATCATCAGCCCCCTAATCTACTTAATTATTCCAGGTACGTAATTAATTTAATTCTTATTAATATTTAATCTCATGATCATGTTCTATAGCTACATACATAGAATTAAAGATTAGACGTATTAATATCTGCATGAATATTCATTAATTAGTGCTCATGATCAATATATATAGATGACACATACATATATACATATATATATATATATTTAAGAGATCAAGTAGCTAGCTAGTAAGTAAGTAGTATATATATATATATATATATATATATATGCATGGACTGAACTCTGAAAAAGGATCAGAAGGGAACTACTGAGAAAAGGTTAAGAGTGGGTTGGTGAGACAAATAAGAATGACACTACTGTTACTGTCTTTTTTTTGTTTTCGCTTTGTTTTTGTCCGGACATAAAACTGCATGCTTTCACTTCACCGACAAACAAATTTTCTAGACCAGAAATTAATTATATATTGCCTAACCAACCATTAAAGGTTTTAATTTGGAATATTATTGATCTAATATATACATATATTTACACACACTCACTCCTCTAATTGCTATATTTTTGTTCTATTTTCTTTCCAAAAATAATAAGAAAAAAAAAATCATGTTTCTGCTCCTATATATGAAATGACTCTTTGGTAAGTATCGTATTATGCATGTTCAAAAGAATCTGGTGGTTTTCAAAAACAATGTAAAAGAAAGGAATCTGACCGTACAACTAAACTAATTATCACACTTGAGAGCATAATAATCGCATGTACAAAACTGTCCACGGTCAGCTTTACCTGTAAGGCTGAGTTATTATTTTTAACAAAATATGGATAATTTAAAAAGAAAAAAGTGTTTTTAGATGTGAAAAAAAAAAATGTGGAATATTCCAAAATGTTTTTAGTGATGAAGAAGAAAAATGTGGGCTGTATGAATCATGTTAGTATACATTTGTACATTAATTATGAGTCCAAATTAAGTCATGATCAGCTTTTAGAATAACAATTGAAAGCGTGTTTGGCGACAAAAAGAGGTTTTTGAATTCGATTATTTTGTAACAACATGATCAACATTGTATGATCATGGCATGCATATAATTGTTTTACACCACTACTAGACATCGACATTGCTTTTTTGTTTTCACTTTATTTATTCAAAAGTTGTAATAAGTAATAATACTAATATTCTTTGTTAAAGTTTGGGCAAATTTTAACTTTTAGTAACTTTTTACACGACAGTGTCCACGAGTCAAGGATAATGTTCTCCTCGCAAGACCAGTCTCATCAGAATAATGCGGTGGATACAAAGCCCAGCTTGTTCATGTTGAGCTCCAAATTAGATTGTGAAGATCAACAACAAAACAACAAAAGCAACAACGACAACAACGACAAGGTCATGATCAGTTTAATGTGCTCAGAATGCTCTTCACACTTTGAAAAAGAGTCTCAACAGCTGCTGCTCAAATCAGGCCACCACAATTTGCCTGCATGGCTCCAACCACATGGGACCCACCATCATCAAATTATGGTACTACACACACATATATATATATATATGGTACTACATATTAATAAACAATATTTGGAAAAAAAGAAAAATACACCCTATTGATACTGTATAATAGGGGACGCAGGATCATCATATCATATTAAAATCATATCACAGTTAAAAATTAAGAGTTAAAACAAACATCAACTGCTATACTTTTTACGCATGCGCCAAAATGTAGCTAGTAGTTGAAACAATGATCCAATGTGCAAATGATGTTTATTATAATTTTCAGGATGATCAAATGGTTGAGCTGAAGAAAAAGTGGAGTAGATTGTGTCATAGTGTACATCAAGGTGCGAGGCATAACGATACGTCTCAAATCAGAGCAATCAGCTCATTACTTAGAAAGAGCTACTCATCATCTTCATACCCATGGTGGCCTACACAGAGCAACAACAGCATCTTATTCCAAGACTCAAACTCCAATATCTCCTTTGCCGATCATCCGTCGCCGCATCCCGACCTTGTTCCCCGTTTCCGGCGGCAGCAATCGTCCACTACTATTGAGTTCAATTTCGGCGGCAGCGAGACTCGAAAGCATGATCAACAAGCAGAACTAGAACCAAGTGAATTGGGCAAGGAGGTGAAGATTACACTTGGTCTTGGCAATATTTCTTTGTTCTCTAATGATAAAGAGTTGGGGAAAGTGGAAAGAGGTGAATTGTGTAGGGTTTTGAAGGAGAATGTGCCTTGGCAATCAGAAACCGTTCCTTCAATTGTGGAAGCTATGATGGTCTCCGAATCGGGGACCCGGGAGATCACTTGGCTGCTGATCCATGGCAATGACTCGATAGGGAAAAGGCGGCTTGCCTGCGCCGTGGCTGAATCGGTTCTTGGCTCTGCCCATATGCTCATCCACTTGAAAAGAAAAGGAGACGGAAATGTTGGAGGGAGATGCCAGGAATCGGACATCGAAATCATCACGAATGCCCTAAAGTCCCACAAGAAAATTGTGGTGCTAGTTGAAGACATTGATTCAGCGGATGCCCAGTTTATGAAATTCCTATCTGATGGTTTTGAGACTGGAAAATTTGGTGGACAAGTGAAGAAGAAAGAAGCAAATTTAGGCCACGCAATACTTATTCTGACTAAAGAAGCCGAATTTGCGGGACCCGTAAGTGACGTGAACAACAAGGAATCTGTTGTAATTCAAATGACACTCAACATTAGTACTGAAGCCAAAACTAGAGTTACTGGTACCAATTTTGAGGCGCTCAATTTGGATCGCAAGCGAAAGGCGGTAGTCGCAGACTGGGAGTTGCCCAAGAAATCGAAGAATTTGAGGACCGACGCGGAAAACAAGGGATTCAACGACAATGTCGACCTTGACCTGAACGTTATGGCGAAAGGCGACCGAGAAGAAGAAGAAGAAGAAGAGGAGAGTGAAGAAAATAAGCCCGGGGAGGTGAGCCCGGTTTCGAGCGACTTGACCAGGGAAACCGAGAGCGTGTCAAACCCTGGCGCGTTCATCGAGTCCATTGAGAATGCGTTCACATTTGACCGGAGCCCGGCGCGTGACCGGGAGATGGAACAAGTTTTCCAAGGAAAGATGGAGAAATGTTTTGAGGAGATAATTAGTGGGGAACAAATTAATATGGTTATAAGGTTTAGGTTGGAAGATAGAGTGTTAGAGGAGGTTTGTAATGGGTGTGGTTATTTTACAAATAGTTTGTTTGAGAAATGGGTGAAAGAGGTCTTTGAAAAGGCCATAAAAAAGGTTAGGCTTAGTAGTGGGAAGGAACAAAAGGGTGGTTTGGTGGTTAATGTAAGGCTATGTTTGGGTGGTGGCAATTTAGAAGAGGGATTCATTTTGGAGGATGGGTTTATGGGTTCATGTCTTCCCAACAAAATCCAACTTTTCTACAAGGACTGAATGTGGCTTTATCCCCCCCACCAACCAAAAAAAAACATGCCCTTCTAACTTGCCCACATTCTGTCCTTGTGTAACTACTTCTAGCTTTCTTAATAGGATGTGTTCTTTTATTTTGTTTTATTTAATTTTTCGGGAAAAGAAAATCTTAATAAACTCTTAGGAATTTTCATTTTACTTTAGCCAAAAAAAAAAAAAAAAAAAAAGGTGCAAATAGGTGCAAAATTAACATTTAGCCGGATACAATTTAGATATTAAAAAGTGCCAAGTCAACGAGGTTAAAATTTTCCAATCCAGTCTTTTAAAATGGATGCGCCAAATATGGGATAAAATCTCAGTCCCCTCATTAATTCCATGTCCCATAACGAACCAAATAAGTTAAAAGCGCTTGAGGGGTTAAACAACAATAAGTTACACAAGTCTAAAATACGATGTGTCAAAGTAGCCCTTCTACTATTAAAAGTTTCAATTTGCCCTCCAACTTTTGCTTTGTATCTTGTTATGGCCCTTGTGTATATTGTTAGGAATTCGAATGCTTTCTATCTAAACTACACTTGGGAAGGTTCCTGTGTTTGAAGAAAGAAAGAAAACTATTAAAAAAAATTAATAATTCGGTCAAATGGTACGTGAAATGGTTTAATATTTAAATAGTTGTAGTCATAGTCTAGCAGTAATTATACATCTAATTTTACGATAAGGTGAAGAGTTTAAATCTTCCACCCTGAGTTAAAAAAAAAAAAATTTAATACTTAATAGGACCAAAGGCTAGTCAAACTAACAATGCAAAATCTAGGGCCTACAGATGAATTTAATCTTTTTCTTTTTTCTTGTGTGAATATATATTGTGGAATGGTAGTGTAGTTTGATCAGGATGTCTTTATTGATTAAGAAAAGATATGTTACCTAAAAAGAGAAATACACTTGTCGTTTTCTACTTTTCCACAATCTATAGTATATATAATATTATGAACTGACATTCTTACACCAAACCAAAGCACTCCACAACAAGTGCCTCTTTTTAGGCTTTTAAGGGACTCAAAAAAATATAAAAATAAATAAAAATAAAATAAAATAGTTACACACACACATTTGCTTTCCCTTTATTTATTTTTAAAAAAAAATGCAAGACCGTATCTAGGCCCTGCAGTTCCCCACCGTCTCCAAAAAGAGATTTGTCTCTTTGGAGAATCTTAATTTAAGTTTTTTTATTAGGCCACTCTGAATAATGCCCAAATTTCACCTTTAGTGGACATTAAACAAACTTCACATTTTCAAAACACACTTGACAACTTATAATAAAGATAAGATAATAAAGCAAAACAACCTTCTCATATCTATCGTCTCTCCTAATCTATCTTTTATATGTACGTAATGATTATATATAATTCTATCTATAATTTAATCTTCCTCCAGACAATTCTTGTTAATATATATATATATAAAGGGCAATTTACACCAACAGTTCTCTTTTGGTTTTGTTACAACTATACCACATACTAGCCTTTAAATGAAACCACTTCGTTTTGGTACAAGAAAATCTTACACCGGCACACTCACGGTGGTTTATGGCGGTGAATCCACTCCGACAACACGTGTCGATTGTAACAAAACTATATATTTACAGCATCAAATTCAATTTAAATAATTCATCGATATTCAAAAATGTTTGAAACACACAAAAATTACACCACCAAATCCGTTGATACGAAAATAGTTAACCAGGTCATCAAATTAGCAATAAGAACATTAGCTAGTCCGAGATAACTTCAGTGTCTTGTTTGTTTCTTTTCAATTTAATCCTTCATTAGGGTTGAGCTGGGGCCGTATGTTATGATTTGTGTACATATATTATTGTACTTACTTTTCCCAACACATAATACAAAAAAGCTTCAAAATATGACGAATTATTTGTATTACGTATAAATAAATAAATAAATAAAAAGGAGAGAGAAATGAGAGGTGCAAAAGGGAAGTTGATGTTCACCCACACACAAATTGTTAGTTCTTGATGCACCTTTTTGTTTATGGAATAATATTGTCTATACACGCTTTTGACTCCATGCGGGATCATCTATATATTGGTAATTATAACCAAGAAAGAAGTGCAATCATACACGGTTCATTAGGGTTCCTTAAACAGAATAAATACATAAATAGATAAATAGGAAAGAGAAAATAAAATAAAATAAAACCCTTTTTTTCTCCACTAGAAGCCAATGGCTTTTCATGATTCAAAAATCTTCTCTGCATAATCATATCATTACTGTGACCTAAAAGGATTCATCATAACAAAACCGTATGATTACATCCAACGGCGGATGTGGGGCCTGTCTACCTATGATACAACACTATCATAATTCCCTTCTTTGCGAGTATATAAGATATGATAATTAAATTCTTAGCACTATGCTTTAATAAAGCTCTCTCAAGTGTCTGCCATATTGATGAAAAGATTGGTCTATGATAGAGGAATGATGGATATACTTCATTTGCCTTTTCTTTTTCATTTTCAAAAATTAACATTTCACATTACTCATTTTAACAATGGACAGACAATAATGACGAACAAAAACACATCTACTTGGATTACATAAACACAATCAAAACTTACTTTCAAAATTAAATGCAAAAACAAAAAAAAACAAAACAAAACCCAAGTTGCAAATAACTAAACCCATATTTGACGAGGTCACAACACAAAGAAATAAAAAATTAAAATTAAAAATTAAAAACTATTTGCATGCTTATTAAGTGTCACAAAACAAAACCCAAGTTGCAAATAACTAAACCCATATTTGACGAGGTCACAACACAAAGAAATAAAAAAATTAAAATTAAAAATTAAAAACTATTTGCATGCTTATTAAGTGTCATTTTCTTGGCAATGCACCTTTACTCCCATTTTGCATGATAAAGTAATACCAAATTGTTAATATTAGAATCTTCGAAGAGGTATCTGACGTCAAGCCTAATGATTACAAGCTCATTTTCTTTCATGTTAGGCCTTCTTTTTTAGTGTAATTGGGTCCCTACTCCCTTGCTTGCTTTAGTATATTATATTTATGCTTAAAAAGATGCATCAATTATCGTAGGAGGGCACTAAATAGAAACCCCCCAACATTTAAAATTAAAAATAAAATGTGAAAAATGAAAAATAAAAGATGAAGCTTTCAGTTTCGACAGAAAAAAGTCGAGCATGAACCGATTATATGATTGGTCCCCCCCATATTTATTTTCCATTTAGGGCCATCTTTTACTAGTAATTAAAATTATCATATTTATTTTCCATTTAGGACCGTCCTTGAGTAATTAAAATCTATCATATGATATCATCTAAAGATTCCAAAAGAAAGACACAGTTAAGCGATGCATCACTATCCATGGTAGTGTTCTCTTTTCCTATTCTTTTTTTATCTATTTTCTCCTTTTTATGTGGCAGGTAAATGGTGGGGAACTTTAATTCATTTATATATTTGTTTATTTATTTTGCTTTTCCATGCAATCCAAGCCTCATATATGTTATATACATATCATCAGCTTTTTCCATCTTTTTTTCTCATTTAACCGAATTTTGTCTCTCTTTTTGGATGGAAACTAGAACCTTCCATTTTTGTTACAAATAGGCCTCTCAAATAAGGGTCTCATCAGACTATCACATAACATATTGAAATTAACTCTTTTTATTTTGGGCCCAGTGATTTGCATATATATACACACACACATATAGATACAAGACTTGACCATGCAGAATAGGTCTTCGCATTGGCTGAAGAGCAACAAAATTGAGCATAATTTGAAAGGATAAGCCCAAATGTGGTATAGTTAGTATCATGGCCAATGCAGTTGCAATATTGCTTGCAAAATGACGAACCGAAGCTTTCACTATGGAATCGACTCAAATATACAGAATTCACTTCTTAAGAATTGAGAAGGGAAAAAACTTAGTGCTACTGCTACTAAAGAATGCGAGAGAAACCAATAAGATTACAAACAGACAACAAAACCTAGTACGCAAAGAATGGAAATAAATAGTGGATGCTAATCTACATTTCGCGGTATGCCTAAGGTTTCACTGACCATATACAAAAAGGGTGACCGGGCATAATATATTCTCACCACCCCACTAGTATAGCAGACTATATATTATTGGAAAATTTCCAAGCAAAGTTAGAAACTTACAATGAGTTTGAAGGTGTTGTACATGAAGATGAAGAGTCGGGTTGATGCGAAGAAGGATTTGAAGTATACACAGCACTTCCCATATCAAATAATGGTTTTATTCTCCTCTCCACCTCGTTGCTTTGAAGATTAATCTCCTCGAGAATCATAGATAATGCAGACTTGCAGGATTCCTCATCTCTAAATGCTAATGTCCATCTCCCGTCAACCAAAGCTTTTGTCTTGGCTTTCCCGTAGGCACCGGATTTAGAGGGATCGACAAACGGTAAAGTGGATGGCCGGATCCGTAAGTGTAGCCATCGAGGATGCTTGGTGTCAATTCGTGGCTATAGGCAAAGACAGAAAGAGATCACAAACGAAAAGTTGATAATAATAATAATAACAATAACAATAATAGTAACAATAACTCCTCCAAGAAAATGTAATGGCAGTACATCATGGAAAGAGTAAATCTAGAAGACAAATCATCATGGTGCTTCCTTCGGGGTTTTGGATAGTTTAATTAGTTTTCTGAAGGGTTGTCTTGTTTTTCTTAGCCCTTGATCCTCGTTGGATTTGTTAGATGATTTTGCATAAACTTTATTTCCTTTTCTCATAATAGATTTGGGTCTAGAGTTTGCTTGCTTGCTTCTCTGACACTCTTTAATAACAAAAGCAAGGCACGTGATTCATCATGAACAACATTAAGGGGCCAAAAAAAAAAACACAAAGTACATACATTTGAGCCAGCTAAAGGTGCAGCAACACGAACAACTCCATAATGCTGCTTTAGGGGCAATTCTTCCGCTAAGACAACCCAACCGGACATTCCCAAAGAGATTGGTAAAAAGCAGAAATGGCGTTCTTTACCCCTCTCAAATGCAATTCGACAAGGCACGGCATCAACTGCAAATGGAAGAAACTCGAGTAATTCAATTATAATTCTCAACATATAGCCCTTATAATTGACCTCGGAAAAAAAGTATGAATACGATGGTATAGCAGAAAAGAAATCAAGCCCATCCTTCCCACCCATCCATGAAGAGAAGAAGGGAAATGAATCACAAGCTTTATTTTGATTAGTAGTCAAAATGAACATGTCAGAAACAATACAAATACAAGCCTGATAGAAACTGACCAAGTTTTAGCTCGTTCCCTGGCTTTGGACCTGAAGCATCTATACCAGCAGTTTTGGCTCGAACATTTTCAGAAACAGGTGCTGGAGGGTTGATGGGCGGTTGATCTGGCAAAGCTCTACCAAGAGAAAATGTTTGAACTTGATGCAGAAGTACAAATACCTAGAACCAGAAGTGCCATGAGAAATTAGAAACTGAAAAAAAAAAAAAAAAAAAAATCCCTAGATACAACACAAATGCAGAAAACGACAAAAAAGTCATCAATTCTAATCTCTTTGTGAGCTACCAGTAAGAAAAAGAACATAACAGAGAGGTAGACTGCATTAGCATTACCAAGATTGACCTGAACAGTCTGAAGCATTATAAGGAGAAATCATTGTACAAACCTTCACCGATTCACACATTCTTTCTCCAGCAGTAAATGAGGATTCGCCTGTGAAACCATTTATATGTACATTAATTTCAACTCCAGCAAAACTACTCTTTTTTCTGTCCTCCACACACATCATTAGGCAAGAAAGAAAAGGAAAACAACATAAAATTTACTCATACCTTCAGCAGAAGACAACTGCGATGACAACAGAATAGACTCAAGCTCTTTACGAGGAGACGAAGTCTCAATCGCTATCAGCAATTTTCATTTGGCAACATGTTAATGAATAGTTAACAGACTAATGGATCATATATCAACTAGGTCTAACTAAATACCTCTTTTGCACCTTTTCCATTCATCACAGAGGACTATTATAAGAAGATCAGGCCAACTTCCTCTAACCTCCTCCAGAAGAGCACTAGCACTGTTTCTATATGAATCCTGCATTGCAAAAGAAGGATTTATTCAAAATTTTGCTAAGCTATACGTACATGCATTATCAAAACAAAACCATGTCTAAAGTAAATACTTGGCTCCAATAAGAAATCAAATGGAACCACTACGTAGGAAAATATTTCTCATTTTGAACCCAAATAGCAACCCAAAACTTAATTTTCTCCTATAAAACTTCCCTGGAAAGGCTATACCCTTTCTGGGTTTATTTTCGTTCTTCATTCTTCTAAGAACTAGACTAGATAAAAGAACATGCATAATTGACCTGAATAGAAATCAAGAAACATGAAAAAGGGCTGGTGCACGTCTGTGAGAATGAAGGTGAGAAAACTGAGATTTTTTGGTGGTTGGTTTTTGAGCTGGGGACTCACTTGCCAGATGGTCAAATGCCATAGTCTTTGGACTTTCTTGGGAAAATCCAGGTCTAAAATCCACCATAGTTCACTATCAATTTTCTCGGAAAAACAATTCAAAGATGCTAGAAGCCTAGAACCAACCAGGAAACCATCTGAAAAGGAAAAGTACCAGAAAGATAATATGACTGACCGAAAGGTAATACTACAATATATGTATTACCTTACACACTATTTTTGTTTTCCCAATAGAGAATATTCGACTCAAATAGCAAGAAGCAATGAAGACTAACAAAAAATTCAAATTTCAGAGTTCACGTTTACTAACAAGAGGATCCACATATACTGGAATAAAGTATAATAGACCAATTAAGATCAGACTAATGATGAAGCTCGACACCAGGTAAAAACAAAGAAAACACCATGCCAATTCACATATCAATTTTACCATGACAATTGAACTTACATTTAACAAGTTGAGGTGGTCGCTGTTGAATTCTGCCCCACTGTAAGGAAGTAGTTGCCGCAAAAGCCAACCGCCCTTCCACAGAGTCTCTGCAGATATGTTTGAACGGGCAAATAGACTGACCAACGCATCAAGGACCTAGAAAAATGAGCGAAAAGCATAATTACAAATTCAAACTGTTCAAATTTGGATAATATTCACGTTCTATCGAATATAATGCCATAAGATTTTTTTTTTTTTTCCAAAGGCAGAGATACAAATCACACTAGGAGAGGAAAAACGAGCTTATTTTACCTACCACCAAGAACCTCCTCCAAATAATGAGAGCTTCAATCACGAAGGAAATAATAAAGTATCTCTGCTAGTAAAACTTTCTAAGTCTAACAATAAATAAAAACAAGTTATACTTTTTGGCCTATATCTGCACTGTTTTTCACTTCTAGTATTCTTGTTCTCGATTTAATGAGCCTATTTTAACAGTAAATCGCATTTAATGTGCACAACCAGCTTAAAGTATGAGCCCCATCTTTCAATTTCTCCAAGAAGTGCTAAAGTGCATAGAAAATAATATAAACTGTAAACAAATTGATGAAGAATAAGAAGTCGACTTTAAAGAAGATAAATGTGGAAAATAAATTAGATTGATTTTTATTTGATTTCTTTTATTTTGGGTTTGATTTTATGCATTTAATTAGTTTCTGGTTTTGGTTTTGTAATTAGCCTTAAATTGGCTACCTTGTTATAGACAATTCAGACTACTTTTGATGAATGAATAATTTCAGTGAATTTCCTCCCTCTCAAGTTCTTCTCTCAGTTTCTTCTTAGTTCTTCTCTAATCTCTCTCTAAGTCTCTCTCTCTTTCTCAATTCTCTTCTTTCCACTCGTTCTACGTCATTTTGGTATCAGAGAAAAGGTTCTTCTCTAATCTCTCTCTTTCTCAATTCTCTTCTTTCCACTCGTTCTACATCATTTTGGTATCAGAGAAAAGTTCAATTCCTTTGGCCAAACTCTACTCAATTTTCTTGCCGTTCAAAAAAAAAAAAAAACACAAAAAACAAAAACAAAACAATACGTTGCTGCCAAAGAAGAAGATTATGAGCGTATCATAGATTACACTTCTTATTTTCACACCTTTATTCCATTCAATGGTAAACCTTGCAAGCTTGTTGTTGATGAACAGAGTGAGATTAATGTTGTGTCTAAAGGATTTGTTGAGCGAATGAATCTTCAAACGGAGCCTTACCTTAGACCGTTTTGGGTAAATTTGATAGGTAAAGGATTTTTTGAAGTTACTAAAAGAGGTCGTGTACCTCTTCAATTTGGTCCTTTCAAGATGAATATTTATTGTGATGTTCTTCCCATGAACGTTACTCATATTCTGTTAGGACTTCCTTGGGTTAATGATTATGATATGAGGTACAATAAAGGGAATTGTGTTCAGACATAATGACAAAACCCTCGTGTTGATCCCTGCTAAGCTAAAAGAAAAATCTCCTATACCTAAGATCAATCTTCCTTCAGGAGTTTCAAATGAGTTGACTCCTGCCCCTAGGTCTCAAGATGATATACCCATTGAGAAGGTTGAAAATAAGAAAGAAGTTGTGAAAAATGATGAGGCTGTTCAACCCAAGTCATTGCCCAAGTCTATTAGTGATGAACCAACTTTGTCCATTGTCCCATCACCACGTTGTTTGCCAACCCCTTTGCCCATTAATTCTAGTTCCTCAAAATCAGATTTTGAAAATTCACCAATAAAATTGCATGATACAATTCCTAACTTTTCTCTTTCTTCTTTTGGATCTAATGCATATTTACTCGATTTTCCTCCTACTCTGACTACGAGATTGGTTTTCAATAAGATGGAGTTGTGTACTTATGGAGGTGATCAGAAGCCCGGAGTGTTTTTTGTGCTTATTTTGCAGACAGCAATCAAGCTCATTTGGCTTCTTTCAAATTCAAGTGTTAAGATTGAAGAATTTCTTGCATTTCAGACTGTTGTTTCACGATTCTTTTGAGAAAGGAATGGGAGAATGATGAAGAATAAGAAGTTGACTTTATAGAAGATAAATATGGAAAATAAATTAGATTGATGAGGATTAATTTTTATTTGATTTCTTTTATTTTGCGTTTGATTTTATGCATTTAATTAGTTTCTGGTTTTGGTTTTGAAATTAGCCTATAAATTGGCACCTTGTTATAGACAATTCAGACTACTTTTGATGAATGAATAATTTCAGTGAATTTCCTCCCTCTCGAGTTCTTCTTCTTCTCTCAGTTTCTTCTTAGTTCTTCTCTAATCTTTCTCTAAGTCTCTCTCTCTCTTTCTCAATTCTCTTCTTTCCACTCGTTCTACATCACAAATAGTCTCTGCGAACAGAATAATTCTCGACCTAAAACAGTTTATATTAGAATGATTGACTAAAATGGTAAATAGCTGTATATTACCAGCAGTAATATTACCGTTGTTCTGTAAAATATATTTATGAAAAATTAGGATAGTTTCCTAGACCAGCTCTCTAAGGGAGTAAGGGTCAACTATTGTATTCTATATAGTCTGATTTTTTTTTCCGATGAATGGATCAGTTTTATAGATTTCTTCACAAACTCTCAGCTTAAAAAGAGCTCTCGACTATAGATATGAAAGTTTGAAAACATCTAATAACTTAAGCTTTCGGTTTAACTGTTTCCTACGATGAATATAATAACAAAGATAGCAGTCCTAAATTCACATTCCTAAAGTAAAATTCTGCAATCCGTCACCAAAAGTTGGGTCTCTATTAATACCTTTTAGATCCAAATATTCTCATGTTTGGTCTACTTGATCTATGTCCACCCACTCATTTGCCAATTGTAAAGTCCACATATATTATGGCGAAGCAGAGATTTATTTTATTTTTGTGAAAGCAGAAAACAGAGTGTCGGGAAATAAAAATCAAAGTTAGTCCATATCACACTTTTAAAGCTTTTGTGAAAATTTGTAAAACATCAGTGATCTTCAATAACCAAAATACCAGAAAGAAATAAGCAATTAGATACAAGGGAATTCCTCATCAGAAATATAGGTATACCTGAAATCTGTGTACACGAGGGCTGGCTCCCACATCCTGGCAAGAACACTCCACTCCGTACTTGTCCTATTAGATTGAGAAACGAATGGGAGCAAAGAAAAATCTCAGCAAAATGTCAAGAACTATAAAAACAATAATGTGGCAATTAATTATCTGAAGTTACAAAATGGTCGATGTTAACTAATCTCCTTTGCAATCCAATACAGAGAGATGACTTAAAAAAAATATTGTGTTTGATTTTTTTTCATCCTATTATTTTTAAACAAATAAAAAATAATAATAAACACAGCTAGAAAGTTGGTTCAATTTCCACGTCATGGAATGAGTGGGATCACCTTTGGAATATAAAGTATTGCACTTGCTCATTCAACATTGAGATGACTCAACAACTTTATTGCTACGCAAACTCCTTTTGCAACCATCAAAATAGCACCTTAAAGTTTTTTTTTTTCTTATTGGCAGTTTCTACTTGTAATTTGCATGGAAACCACATATCACAAAGTTCCCAAAAGAAGATAAAATTAAAATAAAATTAAAAAAAAATGAAAACAAAAACAACAAACTAACTCCTGAAAAAAGGTTTCTTTTCCTGTAAGAAATGGTGCACAATGGGAAGGGAGGCGAGAAAATGGTATCAGTACCTTCAGCTTTTTTAGATAGCCATTCAGCTCGCTACCAATACTCTCTCTCATTGAATTACTTTCCAAAGAGAAAAGCTGTTCTTCACCCGGGCCTTCACCCACCAAAGCTTCCTGAGAAAATGAAAATAGAAATCTTATATTATCTAATATACATGCAACACAGTTACTCAATAGTACTAAACACCACATTATGAGTGTTGATATGCAATCTGAAATTACAGCTAAAGTGGATGAGCAACTGATATATCATCAATAATTCTTTTACTCCTCCAAAGAAAATTAACCAGCAAAAACCCTAAACCTTCCATCCACTTTCTGGTACAGTAGATTTTTGACAACCTAACTGAAATACTGCAGTAGCATAAATCATGCGACAGATCTCGAGTAAGTATTGAACCACATTAAGGGCTGTTTTATGAATCATGACATACCAGCAGGAGTTTTTTGTGTTGCTTACGTTGTGGAAGAATTCCAAGAGCATCTAGCATGGACTCATCTAGTTCTGCATAAATGGATGTTTAATGAGAAAGTAGCAACTCAAATCAGTGCTAAGAAATGAGAAAAGTGCTGTACAAATTTTAAAACTAGCATACCTTTTGTTTGCAACAATGTAGCGAGCACACACAAAGAACCGAAAACTAGTACATCATTCCCCCTAGTCACATAGTAAAGCAAAGTCTCCCTACATGTATCATTAATTCCATTAATGGAATAGGAAGATACAAAAATAAATATTACTCATTGCATAGTGAGAATGCAGATCTGTAAAGGAAACAAAACAGAAAAAGAAAAGAAACAAACTGGAACTCTAATCCTAATCATAACTCAGGTTGTAATAATGTCATAGTAGATCGTTTTCTATTTCCCCTCTTTGGGGGATGGGGTTTACTAAGGTAAAGACAGAAAAGCAAGCCAAAACAAAGCAAAACCAATACGCTCCCTGTCTTGTTGCAATCTTTGTGAGTAGACCGGCAAGTAGATTTTCTTTTGCTGATTTTAGATGCGTTTTTACCTAGAGTTGATTCTTTGTTTTCTGTCTTCTGTCATTTTGAGGATCCTTGTTCTCTTCTAGTTTCCTGGGTTTATTTTCAACAAAGTTCTTTTTCCTAATATTATTAAGAAAATGGATAAGAATAACAAAAACATAAAAAACTAAACTTGGTTGTCATAACAAGTTACCTCAAAGTCAAACGTGAATCATGACCATCAGTTTCCATGAAATCTACCGGGTTAGTATGTGAAGAGCTAGAAGAGTTCCGATCATCAAATCTTAAGCTGCAAGAATTCACCTCACTTTCATGTGGGAATCCGTGAGCGGACAGACAACCATTGGGTTTAGCTCCAGACTTTGGTAAAAAGGCCAAAGAACAAAAGAGAGCAGCGACAATAACATTTGCCATATCTTTGATTTTGACCATGCGCAGGATGCAGCATAGTAAATATAGAGAAGTGACTGCACCAAATTGCATATCCTAAATTCACAAGGTACAAAAGGTTACAGAATATTGAGTTGCAACTGAATAAGAATAAACACATCCTTAGTAGGAAAAGATAAAAAGAAAATGGGAAAGGTACAGATCAGTACATTAGCGGTTTGTATTGTTAGCGAAGGAAGAAGAATCGGGAATATCAAAAGCAGCAAAAGGTTGTCTGTCATTAGTCTCCCAACATCAAGAATTCCAGCAGAAATCACATCACTAAAATAGTAGAGACTGTCTTCGATTTCATGTACAGCATCAAGTATTGATGAAGTTATCTCTTGACTGGGATTTCTGTCTCAAACATAGAATTAAACAGTTTAGGGGAGGAATACACTTCTGTGTCACAGTCAAAATAATAATAATAATAATAAGAGAAGAAGAAGAAGAAGATAAGACAAAGGGGATAAGACATCCACCTAAGCCTCATAAAGGAAGGCCACCAAGCAGAAAAGAAAAGGGAAAAAAAGAAAAAAGAACAAACAAACAAACAAACAAACAAACAAACAAACAAACAAACAAACAAACAAACAAACAAACAAACAAACAAACAAACAAACAAACAAACAAACAAACAAACAAACAAACAAACAAACAAACAAGACAGGTTAAATGATTCCAACTCTTACTTCGTAGCATCAGAGACCAATCGGTTTAAGTCGATACACTGCTTGCGGAAAAATGTGACCAGGTTTAAAAAATACTCTGCGTGAGGAGCACTGGTGACGTATCTATTTACAGAATCATCTCCAGCTGAAAATATCAAAAGCATATGAAGATCAAAATGCATTCAAACAAGGATAATTGCACTTCAAGACAAGGAGAGGAGGAAAAAGAAAAGAAAGGCAAGAAAGGAGCAAGTGAAACTTACCAATATATATATTAAGTGTCAAATTACGTACCGCTGTCCGGATCATGCTCTCCTCATGGAAAGCAAATTGTATTGCCTCAACATATAGCGGAAAAGAAACTATTTCATCCTATACAACGGGAGAGGAAAGATGAAAAGAAAAAAATAATTAAATCATCAGGAAAATACAAACATTTGAGCTATCACCTCCTAGATAAAGAGACCAAAGAAAAAAAGAAAAAGAAAAAAAAAAGTGAAGCAAACTAGCATATAGGTTAACTTATCATTAACCCGATGTGACCTATACTATATCCATAATATAGAGATCGGGTCACAACTCCACATGATTTTTTTTCTTTTTTAGTAAGAATTAAGGAACACCATATGAACTTGTGTACACCGAAAATCCATATAAAAGACTTAAAAGCATGTTGTCTAGAAAGAGAAATTGAAATTTCATCGAACAAAAAAGGAACATGCAATTAAATTGTAACTTACATTTTGAGCCTTTACAAGCAGAGAAATTGTATTCTTATCTAGCGTTCCACTTATTGCTCTACACAGACCAAAAACATGCAATTACAAAGTGATCAACAAAATATGTTCAGAAGTTTACTGGGTGAAGATAACAAAATAACCAATAACCAGAAGGAGAAGGACAATAGAAGTAACAAACAACAAACCTTAAGAAGGATATGTAGTAGTTTAATAGGTCTTGATTCCGGAAGTCAAATGAATACGTTATTAAGTGGTTCATATGTTCGTTGCCTAACAAATAATCTGCAAAAAGATTATTAGAAAAGTGAACATCAAATTTATTTAGTAATTTATAATCAAAAGGGCAAATTAGAGTAACCGAAACTTTTAGCTTCTTTCTTCCAAAACCAACTCACATATGGCATGTTCCTTTTTTAGGTTCTGAATCAAAATGCTCATGGACTGCAATAGCTGAAATGAAACGGCTAATGTCCTGCTCGTCTTTAATACACGTATAAATTCCCCCATAATTTGTTTCTCCATGAAAAGCCTACAAATATCAACGTCTCTAATAAAATTCTGAGACTAAAACATGTAAAAAATGTACACCAAGGACACAATGCATTTAGAAGTCTCACTCGAAAAAGGCTGAATCATCATTCTGGTCACCCCATATAATCAACTCCGCAATTGATCTAATCGCTTCAATAACAAAATCCTTCATGAAAGGACACAGTACAAGAGCATTTGATGCATTAAGAGAAAACAATGACAATAGGCGCACTGAATAAAGTACGAGAGGAAGATTTCATTTACCTTGTTAACCTCATTAACAATTTGAACTTTCACCAGCTGATCAATCAAATACCTATATCAAGAACCACCGTTAAAACATAGACCCAGAGAAATTATAAAACCATTCTCATCTTTCACGTTATACTTGTATCTATAAGAATAAGTCAATTTCAAAGTGCCACCAGCACCAAAAGTAACCAGAACTTCTAAAATGTGCAGACTGTCACCTAGAAAGCTAACAAGAAAAGAAACGAAGACTAGCGAAACCTCACAATTAAAATTATTATAAAAAAAATTGTAATATATTCTTTCATGAATTTGCACGTCTTTGTGGTTGGCTTTGTCAAACATAACTTTTTTCCAAACATATATTTTGGGTGGAATGCTCTATTCCTATGGCTCCACTTTACACAAGAAATGAAACAACTAGGATTCGAACCCTAGTGGATACATGCACACACTCACGCACCCAACAACTTGAGCTAGCCTCAAGTGGCTGGAATGCTCAATTTCTGATAACAACATCAAATGGCTCCTTCAAGTTATATCTTTGCCAAAAATGATTGTTCTTATCAACCAATGCGTCTTTCAAGCTGAAGCATAAACCCAAATTAGTTTATGATTGAAGGAAGATGAGCAGACTTGCCTTGCAAGTCAAATATCAAGAATTCTGCACCCGACAGAAAGTCCACCAAGAAAAAACAAGTTATGAAAAACAATTCCAGACCCTCAAAAGCACTAAGAAGTGCAAATATCATACTCGTAATCGTAAATTCTTTCCTCCCCAAAATTTCATCAGAATCCGTCTCAACCCCCTCGAAAAGCCTCTTATTCCTTTCAAGCCCAATTAACCAGAACAATGCTGAAACTGCACAATCCCAATTCCCAAATCAGCCTAACTGACAATGGAAACCATTAAAACCTCACTTCTCGCTTAACAAGTTCTTACCACTCTTCTCCCATTAAACCCCAATAAACAAAAAAATGCAAATTCTTAAATCATAGAGTTCAAGGACACAATCGAGTTAAACCGACAGAAATCACTTTACTAACAGATTGAAACCTAAGCTCAACAATAAAAAGAGATTGAAATAGGGAAAAATTCCCTTCCACATTACTTAAAAGTATAAAGGTTGTGAAGTTTCTATCCACTTTTTCTTCCTCTTATACTCAAATTCCTGTCCATTTCGTCGATACGACACTCAAAATTGAACCGAATTTCGAAAAATCCCAAACAGTGAATAAAAATTAACCAAAAAAAAAAAAAAAACCCTGACTTTTTTTAGTTTTTCATCAACTAGTTCTCACTACTATTCTTCCACTATAGTATCAGTACAAGGAGAACTATTTCACAATCAAGCTTACTAAAAGTAAAACCCAGAAACAAAAAAGAAAAGAAATTTTTTTAATCGCGGAATTGAAGGACATAATTGAAAGAAATTGAATTAAGAATGGAAACCTGAGCTGCTCTAAGGAGAAGCGATCCCTGGATCTCCAGAACGAAAACCACATTGCTTTCGCTTTTTTCACGAAGAAATAATCACTTGAGACTCAATACAAACTCATCATCGCATCGAATCGATCGAAACAAAATCGAATTGCATTCGAAAACGACAACGATTTTGAAGGCGAAATCGAGAGAGATTTTCTTTCGGAATTGTGGAGTAACTTCCTTCGAAGAAGAAGGAAAAGTGGTCCTCAAATGAAAATATGATCCAACAGAACTTCTCTTTAAGAAGAAGAAGAAGAAGAAGAAGAAGAAGAAACCAACAACCAAAGCACTTCTCTCTTTGTTTTTTTCTTCTTTTTTTTTTCCTTTTTCTCTGATAATAATATTTATGTATTTTGTTTATTTGCTTATTTTATTTAGTTTTCATCTCAATAGCCTGCTATTTCGAATAATTGAACTTTGATCCTTCAATTCAAACATTCTTTGCAAATTTATGTCCTCCACTTGGATTTCTTCTTCAAAGTCATGTTGAAGAAACAAACAACCAACAAAGCCATATTCTCTTTTTTGTATTGTTAATATTATTTTAGTGTTTTAAAATAAAAATCCTGAACTTTTTGGAAAATTTTTAATTTTGAATTTTTTTAAAAAAAATTCTTTTGATGGGAGATTGTATTCAGCCTAAGACAAAATTACAAATATCACGATATAATGCTAACAACCCAGCAAAGCGAAGGATATACGTCTGAGGCTAAAAAATGAGAGTGTATCCTAGCACGCTAAAGTCAAGCACACATAAGGCACCAAACAATACTAATACACCAGTCTAATAAATACCACAACAATACTAGATACCACAACCAAACTAAATAAACGGAGTGAAAACCCGTTATTACTATAAACAAGACGCAATACAAATAAAAACACAAAACTAAAAAATAAGCCTCAAACACCACCGTTAATCGACTCTGATGAGGAGACAACAGGACTTCAAGAGGCACACGGTAAGATGAAGAAAGCGTCATCAAATTGTATCACGATAAGCATTTCTGCCACCAGTGGGACATGGAACCACCGCCTTCACAAGAAGCTCACCATCACGTGGACCAACATCCCAAGAGAGCCTTATGTGATATCTAGTTTTAGTTCTTAAATTTTTAAAATAGTAACAATTTGAGTCCAATCATCAATGAGATGTAAATTTTGAGAAATTTATAAACTAATAAAGATAAATTCTTAAAAATTAAGTAATATTTTAAGGGCCAAATTCACAATACATTTTGTCCAAAATTTATCATTGCAAAATTAATTTTTAAAACATTGAATTGTCCAAGGAAAAAATCTAAAACACACAATAATATGACCCTTCAAATTATAATCCGATCCGACAAATATAATCCAATCGTTCAAATTAGAAGGTCTTTGCAAACTTGTACCTTCTATTTGGCTTAGTGAATATTTTAAGTGAAAAAAAAAACCGGAAGAAGGAAAGGATAAAGTTCATTTTACAAAGAATAAGGATCCTTGATTTATTAGTGGACGTTTAGTTCGTGTATTCAGAATTATTCTCATTTTACGTGTGCTTTTTGTGAGAAAAAATACTGTAGAGAACCATGAATCATGATTCAGAATCATAGATGAATATAGAAAACAAACGGGCTCTTACTTTTTGCATTCTAAATTCTCATCACTCTGAGCACTAGGATCGTGATCCTCAAATGGAAATCATTTATGGCCAACCCCCGGTCCTTTTTTTTTTTCTTTTTTTACGCATTGAGAATTATTTAATATAAATTCTCAGACAATTTCGCCAGTAATAGAGCTAAAAAATTTTTTTTCAAGGGAGGTACATTAAACTAAAATTTTAAACTGATTGTAACTATTTGTACATTACTTTTTATGCATCAAGTTTGTAATTGAATTTCAATTCAGTTTTAAAGTTTACAATCTGTAAAATTATGAATTAATATAATATATAATTGGTTTTTGTTTATTTAGCATTTTAAGTTTGGAACATGTGATACTTAAAAGCTAAAATTTAGAGTACAATCGGAACTTTTGTTTAGAAAAAATTCATATAAATGTCATAATTAGAAAATTCAAGGGCAAACTAAGGATGAAAGTGTAAAAAAGAAATTGGTTGGGGTAAAAATTAAAGGTGATCATTGCGCCGGGACAACTTCCCAAGGCCCAAGGTGACACCGTTTGGTTTTCCTTTTTTTGGAAGCCCTCCAAGTCTTTAGGGCTTGAACCCATGATCTTATTGGGCCTCCAAATTCCTAGATGTCCATTTTGAGCATTATTTGTGCTTGAAACTGGTGTTCCGGACCTTCTGGTTGGTCATGCTTGTAGTCCTAAGTTTACTCTCAATTGGGTGGCATTCCGAAATATGGTTGAGAAAAAAAAAATAGAGAAGAGGAAAAAAGGAGTGAAAATCAAGAAATTTGCCTCGTAAACAAGAAACTATGTTGTGGCTGTTTTGAAGGTTTGAGTCAATTCAAACATTTTTTTTATGAGGTAAAATTCAAACATTTTCATTTTCAATGTTTTCTCCCATAAAAATTTTAAATTTCTTTCAAGCTTTGTGTTCAAACCTACAAACCAAGTGACATCTATATCAATTGGTATTACTCACCAAATACCTATGGTGACCCACCGTGTTATCCCGTTATTTATTGAGTTACTACAATTACAAGTAACTCTATCTAACTATATCAAAATGCTTTTGAGGAAACTCGTATCTTTTCCTCTCTTCACACTAACTTCTTTTGGATCTTATCTATCTTTCTTCATTTTCACCCTTGCGTACCAAACATACTTACTTGGCTAGAATTCCAAAATATAGTTGAGAAAAAGAAAATGAGAGAGAGAAAGAGAAAGAGAACCAATGAATTTGTCACTTAAACATTCAGATTTTAGATTTGGAGAGAAATATGAAGCTCACTCATTATATACTAGTTAAAAGCACGCGCTATACACATGTGTATTTTACGTGTTATAGTTTTTTTTTTTTAAATTAAAATTTCTTCAAAAATTGTCTTTTTATTAACTTATTAGTCCTTTAAGACTTAAGAGTTTAGTTTAGCAAAAATAAAAAAATTAAGTAGATCATAGTTAAAAGGAAAACAATGTTTTGATGGAGTAAATTAGAGAGTAAATTATTTATGGGGTACATATGAAAAAGTTAGTATTTAAGAGGTTACAAGGAAAAAATATTTAGGTAGGGACACATTTTAAGAAAAAAAAAATTGAGTAGACTCATATGAGGACAACATTTCCAAAAATATATAGATATTAAGTAGGATCTTATGTGAGAGAAATATTTGAATGTAGATAAATTAAAGTAATTTTATTTAAACAATAAATAGTAGTTGAGAGTGTCACCGATAAGAAAACATATATAAATAGGGAGATGTTTGAGAACTCTTACTTGAATAATTCATAGTTAAAAAAATAAAATAGAAAACTTGTAAAAAGAGAAGAAAAAGGGAATTTTATAAAATAAGTGTACATTAAAAAGTAACTAAGTATGGACACGTTTAAAAAATAACATGTGGCCTTCATAAAGGCCAACATATGACCTCTATAAAGTCAAGTTCTTAACTCTTTTAAGTATGTATAGATTAGAGATTAAAGATATATATATATTCTAGATGTCCACTCTTATATTTTTTTAGAGTGCCGTTGTCAACTCCAAGAGTTTAATTAAGTGAATATATATATATATATGGTTGTGGTTTTAATGGTTACTCTAATATTTATTCACTGATGGACATCATTATTTTAACCATAGAATATTAATCTAATGGTTGTAATAAATTATATATTTGATTAAAAAATGTATGGCAACTAATTATATTAAATTCTTATCACGCCATATTATTAAATTTTTATGTTTAATGAACATAACCATAATAAAAACGTAAACATTAAAAACTCGTTCATATACATGAGATATATACTTATTATATATTAGTGCTCGACATAGAGGACCTTTAAAAATAGGAAAAGAAGTTGTGTCACTTTATTTAGATGCTCATGTCAATCGTATTTCATAACTTGTTTGTTTGGTTTAAAGTTCTATATATCTATCTATACATAAAAAGGAATTTGAATGCGAAGAAAGCTCTCAAAACTTAGCCACCCTTTTCCTATTATTCTTTATCAAAACGTTTTCCACGTTTCAAAACTTTTGACAAAATGTATAATCATTCCACATAAACCACTCTCATCGTAATATTTCAAGTAGTCAAAACAAGTAATTCACATGTTTTTTCCCTTTTTGACACCTTAGTTCTTTTCCTCGAAACTCTTTGATGCCTTCATTATGACCAATAGAATAAAATGTAGCAAGAAAATGAAGTAAAACTAAAGTCAAGAAAATTTTGAGGATTAATGAGTTGACCTCAATCCTACAATATATCCAGTATGATTATAGAAGATAATAACCAAAAATAGTTGATAGTTTCCTAGAATAGTTTGGTTTGTTTTTTTCTTACTCAGAATAGCTTAAATATACATTACTAGAGTAGCCTCTCTGTAAATGATATATATAGCAGACAAGTGTATTGAACCTTTACGTATGACATAATACAAAAAGAAAGCTTTTTCCTCTCAAAGTTTCTTTATTAACCATATAAAAAAAAAGTTAAAAAGTATTTTAAAAGCCTTCTTTAGTTGTTAAGGGCATATTAATAGTTATCAAAAGATAAAATCCCAACTTATTTTCTTCTTATCTTTATCTACTAATCTCAAAAATCCAGCATCCTTCCCTATCTATCTGTCACCCCCCCCCCCCCAAACGGGGTGGGTGACGTGGAGCTCGATTAGGGATTAATAAAGCAGATTCCCAACCGAGCCCCACACTTGACTACATTAAAATATAATGTCATTACTACAGAATCCCGGAGCCTCTGACACACAGGGCTCCACCCCACAGGACATACAGTAACTTATCAGGAAATACATCCGTAAATTCATCCACTACAGGGATTCCCGCACTATCTCCAGTTACCTCAGGTTCACCTTCTAAGGCAAGAAGGGAAGAAAAACAGGCTAGATTCCTCCGTCCCCCAACACTGTACTTCAACAGTCGTTCTCCTAAGACTGGATTCAGATCTGCCTGATAAGAAATCGATGTTCTAGACTTAGTCGTCAGAGTCACTCTCCTACGGTAACAATCAACAATTGCTCCATATTCTAACAACCAATCCATTCTGAGGACCACATCAAACAGGCTCATCGAAAGGATAATCAAGTCTGCT